ACTTACTAATTGATTAATAACGATTGGGTAAACTGTACCAATATATCAGATCAGTGACGACTTACTAATTGATTAATAACGATTGGATCAACTGTACCAATATATCAGATCAGTGATGACGAAATTCATTTTGCTATTACTCTTGCTATTCGCAGTTGTCACAATTGCGGAAGGTTTGTTTTCCAAAAAAATTTGTTGTTTCATTTTATTGAGTTGTAATAACTAATAGGTCTTCATTAGTATTATACTACCGGAAACAAGTTCAATTGATTTAGTTAGGAGGAAGAAGCCAAGAGAGTTTGCTAATTCTTTGGCAGCCTAGTTTTGGGTACTTATCATAGTCATTGTTGTTTTAGCCAAAGAATTTTCATGAATCTTTTGCTTGCATTCATTTAGATAAAAACTTAAACAATATAATCCTTCTTATCCTTCCTGAATTTTTTAAATGCTCCCTTTATTTTAATTAGAGTTTAAATTACCTTTGAATTGTGATAAATTACTATGATTTATTAAACTGTAAACTCACAACATTTTTTCCCAATCTTTTCATCTTTTTAAATTAAATTAATTGTAAATTTTATATTTTATGATCAGATTTTCATTCTTCACGAAATTTCTGTACTTATTAAACATTTAAAAATATATTTAAGTGGTAAATTCTACCAATAAACCATTGATCAGCTATGATAATATAGTCCTAATAATTCTCATAGCAATTAATAATTGAAAATGAAAATCGATTTCAAATTATACCAAAAAAAAAAAAATGATTCTCAACAATGCCAGAAACTGTTAGGTGTTGAGGAATAGATAATTCATTTAATAGATGATATCATTTGAAGAAATTATGGATTAACATGCTTTAAAAAGAAAAACGAAAACAAACCGTTTATTCGTAATTTTTGAACGAATTCCAAATTTTGCCCAAAGCTTTATTGCATTTTAAATTATGTATTCAATATAAATTATGCATTCAATTAAAGTTCGAACATTCAGTATGTCTGAAATTATTCCTAATTAATGAAAGTCTACGCAATAAATAATTAATTACATTTCTAATGGATAAAATAAACAAAATAAAATTAATAAGAAATAAAAATAAACCGTTTATGTATGGAATAATTTTTGAATGATCAATTTTAAAATATTCATTGAACAAATTATTATCATTCATTTATTTGGAATTATCATTCTTCCAATTAATATCGTTTGTTTAATAATTTAAATTAAAGCATTACAATAAAGTAAGTTTGAAAAATTCAGGAAAAAGTTTTGTTAGAAATAAATCATTTAGAAATAAATTAGATCGTTACCTTATTTAATCTTTTAAGTTATGGAAAAGATATAGCTTAACAGAAGAAATTGTTATTACTATTTGTTGATATTTATTACAAAAAAAAAAAAAGTCATGTTTGTTAAATTTTTTGATAGAAAAATATGGGCGAGGAGTGAAATTTGATAAATTTTTTTAACTAATCTCATGTAGAAGTAAATTGACTTTTATTTTGCTGTTATCTATAATTAGTTCAACTTTTTTTTTTTTAGATAATATTTATTTAAGTAATTAGTATACATAAGTAAATTGCATGTGTTATCGCAATTTCTCCGGAAGGATAATATGGATGTAATCTAATTTAACTTTTTTTTTGTTAATATTAATCTAATTTAGCTTTTTTTTTGTTAATATTAACTATTCAAAAGCTTTCCTTTTCAAACTGTACTAAATTAAATGATTGAATAATTTTTTAAGTAAAAAAAAAATGACTAGTTGGACGAACTTCAGTGTTTGTGTGAACATTAATTTTGGATGATAGGAGGATAGTAATGAAGAAGTAGAAAGGTATTAAAATGGGTCAAAGGTTAAAAAAAACCCCCTAAATGATTGTACTAAAAAAATTATTACCAAGATATTTATGTAATAGAATAAATCGTACTCAACAAATTTGCCATTATTTTTTAATTCAATGCAAGAATTTAAAATAGTAAGATTCATATTTCTCGAAGTAGCAAAATTGATAAGCTTAGTAATTAAGGAATTATTTGGAACAATTAGTATCGTTGATTTTTCAAAGAACCTATTGGGAATTTATACCAGTATATGGTTACCTTACTATTAGGAAAGATACTCAATCATTTTGAAATTAAATAAACAACTGATTGTTAGATGGTTTTCATTTCTTTTTTATATCTTAATTATTAAAATATCGAAAAAAAAAAACTATTTTAGAATATCATCAATTAGTCTTTTCTATTTTTCCATTCAATTGATAAATATTTACTTGCTTATCCTTTTTTTTTATCTTTTCGTTTTTATCATTCATTCAAAGTTGTCAAAAGCGAAATGTTAAATTTGTTAGTGATTTTCATTCATCAACGAAATCATCTCTCCTAAGAAAATGAACAAAAATACATGTCACCATTTGAATCCAACGATTTGCTAATAGTGACATAAATCATTCATTGACTTATATTTGATCAAATTACGTATGTTACGTGAAGAATGCATACTTATCATTTAATTAATCAAGGATTCATTATTAAAATACAAAAAAAAAACACAAAATACAAAATACATTATTAAAATAAAATATTAAAAATACAAAAATTAAAGCATTTTATACTAATAGTGATAATAAAATGAATGTTTTAGCATAAATAATCTTGAATTATCAAAATTTCAAATAAATTTAGGTGCAGCTGTTGACGAAAACAGTATTATCGAGTTGGCGGATAATGACAAATTGATTTTATCACTTCTAAATAATACAGACGATTCAGATAGCATTAATATTATCGATAAGTCTATGGCATTTGTCAACAACGCAACATTCATCACCGATATGAGCTCTATTCGGAAAATTCCTTTCATATTCAGTAAAATGGAAGAATTCGGGAATAGTACTATTGATACCACATTTATCAGAAACTCAAATACTAAGATTACTGTTACGAAATCCGCGAAAAATATCATTGAGAAATTGATGAGAAAGAGCATGACGAAGAAATTAACGAAACATCAATTTGAGAATTCTCGAAGAGAAACTAATGATAGCTTTATGGAGGAATTTGGAAATAATTCGGTGAATACTTGTCATGATAGTCAAAAACTTTGCAAATTTTGGGCAACCATTGGTGAATGCATCACAAATAAGAAATGGATGGAAATTAATTGTCCGGTTGCATGTAGTAAATGTCAAAGTAAGCACTTTTTAATTTTTTTTTTATTGTTGATCAAATCAGATAAGCCATAAAAGGATGGAATCATTCGTTTTGAACCACGGTGTACAATGATACCTAAATGGTACCAACCATATGATAATGGTGCAAACAGCATTACTCTAAATCATTCATATCAATTGAAATCATCATCTCATCCGTCAAATTGGTTCTTTTTTAAATTTCAATTACTACCGCTTGTTTACCTTACAATCTTTTCGAAGAACCTATTCAACATCTTTTGGTTAATTCTTCGTAGGAAAGAAAAGCAAAAAATAATGTTTCATTACGAATTTACTCTTTTTACCTGTTAGAACTCCCACTAATTTATTAAATCTAAGAGTTCGAAGTGTTTTCTGTGTGTCCAACAATCAATTTCATTCCTAAAGAATTGTCTATTTTCTTCCTTTAAGATTAATCGAAATTATCAAAACGATAGAATTTTATGCTTAAATTTAATACTAAAACTCGACCTTTTGTCATCAAACAGATCAGTGACAAAAATAGCAATTTACAATGAAAATGTCACTTACACAAACTTTTGCATCCATTATTTCGAGGGAGAATTTCATTTAATTAGATGGATATTTACTTTAAAATGACTACGACAAAAAAAAACTTTTGCGGCTTTTATTTCTTTAGTCTTTTTTTTTTGAAGATACAGATTTCAATTATTCAAAATAACATGAATACAAGTGAGAAAATAATGAAATGGTGATATTTTAAGTATTTATATCCATACATACTGTGTACATATTGAATACGTTAAACTTTTTATGCAAATTTTCAAGGAAAAAATGACCGTTTTGTTATACATATTGGAATTTAATAAAAAGTAATCGAAATTTAAAAAGAGGAATTTCAATTCTGAAATGACAAAAGCAATTTGATAGATAAAATTATAGCTTCAATTTTTTGCAAGTTAATAAGTATTAATTTTTTCTGTTAAATTTATTTGAATACGAAATATTTAGCAAATCATATTATAACAATTTTTTTTTATTATGAAAAAAAACTGAAAATGCAAAAGTTAAAAGTAGGAAATTATGCCAATTATTTGAATTTGCAGTGAATTACTAAAAGTGAAATAAGTAAGAAATTAATTATGTTAATTAGTTGAATCTATTGTAGGTTGCTAAAATAAAGCATATAAGATATAAGAAGTCGCATAGATTATTTAATTAATTTAACTGCAAATTACTGAAATTATTTTTAAACATATAATCTTTCTTCATAAAGTCATAACGGATTCAGGAGTAAAAATTTCCTTTCTTGCATTTTCAAAATTGCAATTTTTCTGCGAAACAATGAATGTCATGAAATATTAGAAATTATATTAATTACAAAATAAGAAATTATATTAATTATTTATTCGACGAAATTACTATTTCATCAAACAACTTTTATATTTTGCTCAAATAACATGCAAATTTGCTCATAAGTCAACTTCCTTAGCACCTGCAAAATGCACGAATAAGCATGCATTATGTTCCTTTTGGTCATCCAATGGTGAATGTGAAATGAATGCTGTATGGATGCATGTCAATTGTCGTCAATCATGCATGCTTTGCAATGACAGTCATTTCAATTTCAGTAAGTTTCAAGCTAGTTATACATTATACATTAAAAGTAATTGAATTTGTTAGTTAAACTTTTAGGCGAACAATGGAGTCCAAATTAAAAAATTGTAGGATAATTCGAAAAGATGAATTTAAGAATGCTATCGTATTCCTATAGATGCAATGCTATCGTATTCCTATAAATATAATCCTATCATATTCCTATAGATACTATCATATTCGTATTTTTATATTGTATTTGGATTTATTATAAAAGGAAAAAAATAGCATTAAAAAAAACTAGACGGAAAGGATAGCATTTATTTAAGAAATAAAAAGAGAAATTGAATTTTAAATCGTGACTTTCTGAATTGTTTGGAATAATTTGATTCCTAGAAACTAAATTTCAAATTACAATTTTTCCCGAAAAATTAAATTTTAAATCATGATTTGCTAAATTACTTGCAATAAATTATTTTAATAATTTAATAAATCATAAGTTAAAATTTAATTTCTAAAAAGCAAAAAAAAAGCATCCATCTCTTCTGAAATTTCATTATTTCATACTTTCGAATTGGTCATAAATTTATTCATTTTTTT